CTGCCTGCACCCGGCTGGAGGAGCAGTGGGGCGGGGTGGGCGCAGAGCCGGGCCCCCCCACAAGGCCAGCAGAGACACTGACCTAAGCCCAACCTTTTTTATTTTTTTTGATTATTATTTTTGTTTTGTTTTGTTTTATTTTACCAGCTCCAATTTAGCCCAGGATCTTTTTAACTGCTGCCAGCGGTGGAGCGCAGATCGGGATTAGGTAAATAAAAAGAACAACTCATTTTGTTTGGTTTTTGTTTTGCCAAGCCTCGGGGGCTGGGGGTATCGATCCAGACACCTCCTTTCTCTCCCTCCTTTCTTCCTCTTCCCCTATTCCTCCCACCATCTTCTGGATGGTGCAGAAGAAGTGGAGGGAATTCCGGTTCACGTGAGGAAGGCTATTCTCCTTGGGGTGGGTGGAAGGCCGGGGGAAGCGTTTACATGGGGCTCGGATATTTTGATGCTATTTAAAGATTTGTCTTCCCCTTTCAAAGTTACTTATCCCCCCTTGCGGAGGAGCTGTGCTTTTAACCCGAGCTAAAAATGACACACATGAGCTGCAACAAGAAGTCTGAATGTCCTTCAAGGACTTGAGCGTTCAGCTTTTTCCTTTCCTTTTCCTTCTCTTCTTCCCTTTCCTTCCTTTCCTTCTTCTTTTTTTCCCCCCTCTTTCTTTCTTTCTACTCCATTTTATACTCCATTTATAGCCTGTTAATGTCCAAGTAGCCTTGTCTGTCTTCTCCCAAGGCCATAACAGAAATGAATCTGATGTTTATACTAGTCTGAATGGAGCAACACAAGTTCAGCGTAGGGAGAAACTGGGCTTCTCTCGAGGTCGAGCCTATAAAGTGCTAGTGCAAAGCTGAGGATTAGGATATAGTTGTTATTTCTGGCTTTTGAGTGGGGAACTATAAAAATCGAACATTTTGGAGATTACTGTAAAGCTGCGGGAATTGTCCGATAAAATGCAACCAGAGACGGACGGTGAGAGCTGTGTCCCGGACAGGTGCACAGCGAGCCCAGTTTAGTATATCTGAAGCCAAATGAGAAAAAGGGCCAACTCCTAAAATAGAGTCCAGCTCGGGAGCCCGCAGCGCCGCGGGCTCGCCTCCCCGCTGCCTGCACCGCGGCC